TTCGACGATTCCGATATTGAATTTCCGAATTTATTTATCAATATCACAAAATATATACCGGTACTTTCCTTTCCGCTCTCCAACGATTGTTTAAAGGTTTTTATCTTTTTGACATTTCAAATTAATTTTAGAATTTTCAAGCTGCAGCCTTTTGTTCATTGGTAAAATTGCAGTATAGCTTGTCTGACCTTAACTGACCTAATCTCTGAGCTTCAGCTTCAAAATCATCCCGGCACAGGCCTTCTCCTCTCTTTTTGGTGTTTTGAAGCAGGATAGAGTTCATCACGCTACCCCGATGCGGTTTTGTCAGACATGCAGGCTTCCTCACTATGTTTTCTTTTAAATATTTGTTGGAAGGATCGAGCTCGTTTTTAATCTATACCCTAAACTACTACTTTTCTATTTTATATTTACGCGAGTGCGTTACACGGCTACTAAACATGACCTTTGTTGCGTAACGGTCATGTCACACCTGTACCGTTAGTTGTCGGTAGCAATACGCTCGAAGTTGTTAGTTGTCGAAGTTGTCACAAATAGTCCGAATAGGTAAGTTGAACTTCCGACCGAGAGGTCAATTGATGATTCAACTTAGCCGGGCAACGTTCGGGAGATTACGACATATATATTTCTCATCAGTCAGTTATTTCAATATTACGGAGGTAAAATAGGTCATATTATTTATGCATGATTCACAGCGAAAGCACCTTTCTATTCGATTTTAAATAATTATGATATGCACTGTGAGAACAACTGTGGGCATACAATGTGTTTGTTAAATATTCAAAGCTTGCCCGAGGAGGTTTTTCGCTTGCTTTGCGATTGCTTTGTGAACCCTTTCACGGTTAACGAGTTACTTCATCAATTTCTTTTATTGAAAAAGTTTGCTCATTTGAACTGAATTTTAATTGATTACATGTATTAAACATCAATATTTTACTTTCATCAGTTTCCCTCAAGACAATAACGGTCGGAGAAAGCTAAGCAACAAGACCACTCCTTCCACTTGACCGCATCCAGCGCAGAGCGGCTCGTATCGTCGACGACCGAGTGCTTTCCGATCGGCTCGATTCACTGGCGCTGCGAAGAGATGTTGCATCTCTTTGCGTATTTTATCGCATCTATCACGGGGTGTGCTCTGAGGAATTGTTCGGATTAATCCCAGCTGCCAAATTTCATGAACGCACTACGCGGCAAACCTCCCGTTACCATCCACACCATCTAGATGCTTGGCGGTCCACCACTGTAACGTTTCACTGGGAGTTTTCTTCCGCGTACGACCTCTCTGTGGAATAGTTTACCACCGGTGATTTTCCGGACCGATACGACTTGGGGATCTTCAAGAAAAGAGCTTACTCCTTTCTAAAGGGCCGGCAACGCACCTGCAATTCCTCTGGTGTTGCGGACGTTCATAGGCGGCGGTAGTCACTTAACATCAGGTGAATCGTGTGCTCGTTTGCCCCCTCTTCTATAAAAAAGGTCTATGTTCGTAAGCACGACTGTTGATCCCCGCCGGCACAATGAAATTGTTAATTGCAATTTTAAGTGCTGATTTACCACATGCTCGGTAATGAAGGAAAATATCCCGAGGAAACTTGAATGTCTGACAAATAAGAAAGAAAAAAATCGAAGAAGTGTGAAGTTTGCCATCACGCATTTTGGAAAAAAATCTCTCATATATGACAGGAGACCTATGCCCAGCAGTGGGACGTGTATAGGCTGTAACTTAACTATCGACTGTTAAACTTGTAGCCTTGGGTTCTTATCCCGGTTCGGGACAAATCAGTTATGGGTTTTTTCATCAAGGAATTCGCGGTAGCAGCCCAAAGTTACGAAGTTGGTGTTTGAACCCCGTGCAACGGAAAGCACGTAAAGTCAATGGCTCTACGTCTATTCTCTTTCTGGTCATGTCGGATTGTGTTCCGTCGGACTATGGGAGTATGGGAATAGACCTGGGCTTGCTCGCACACTCGTTCACTCTAATCCTGCACAGATGATTGATGATCACTGATGATAATAAATTTACAGTAAATTTAAAAAGGGCTCGTGGAAACATATTACGTTTATATTTTGTATTTAATTTAACAATTACTTTTTAACGAGGAATTAAAAAAAGAGCAAACAAGGAATTAAAAAAAGAAAAGAGAAAAGAAAAAACCGCAATTGCTATAAAAGACAAGAATTAAAACCTTTTTTCTCTTACGTTTTATTGAAATAGTTTTAATGAAACACTCCAAACGAGTAGATCTCGTCGGAGCCACCTCCCAAGAAACGTGTCTATAAAATAGCAAAAATTCAAGTACCGTTGAAAAAGTTCCATATTTAAGGGAGGCCATTTACTTTGCGGATTTCGTTATATTGCGGAAACAGAAAACTTTTTAAGCAATCTAAAAACCTTTGAGGTAATGGCATTTTTTTTACTGTTGTATGGCATACAAGTACAACACGGGATACGCAATTATAAGTAATTTTTTTTTATAGAATAGGGTGACAAACGAGCACACAGTCCACCTGATGGTAAGTGGTTGCTGCGGCCCATAGACATCTACATCTATCCTCCATTAAAAATAAAAATGCAGATGCGTTGTCACCCGTGAGGACTGAGATGGAATGCCTCGTTTCCAGTAAAAAGGGTCTCCGGTTCTCTACACTCACCATACGAAATACAGCAGCATTAAGCTACTATTTCACGCTGGTATTCTGTGAGAGCGTGGTCCTTCCCCGGTCGAGCCGACCCATTCGTGCTACAACTATACTACTAATATAACTGCAGCATGGCTCTACCACGTTAAATACATATAATACATAGAAAACACTTAATCCCATCTGAAATTAAAATAACAACATAAATAATCATGCCCACTTTCCACACATTGATTGACCTGTCACTTGATACCTTTGACAGGTCGTCTACCTACAACTAGTGTTGTATAAAAGCAACTATTGTATATAAAACATAATAACTTATTATCTTTTCATAAGGCCAGAAAAAATGCTATTAAGTAAATAAGTTTTTGAGGACAACTGTCAGATAAGGTCTGTACACTTATTTTTCTTTCCACACCATAGTGTAAAATCATAAAAAATCGTATCTAGTCATAAATTAATAAGTTTAAAAAAAAGCAATTGGTTATTTTGAACATTCATAAACCACATGGCGAATGAACAAGTTTTTCGTAGTCTGAAACGGAACGTGTAAAACACGTTTTTTATATATTTTGACATGGCTTCTAGGCCTTAGATGCATTGTAAAACACGTCCTGTCTCCAAAAGTCTATTGAGAATGCATCATAGTAATATTACATTTTTTCCTGGGTTTATATGAAAATTCAATTAAGCGATACGAAATAAGCAAAAATATGCAATTTTATGATATTTTACATCACTAGACACGTTAGAAAAATATCAGGTCAAGACTGTGCATGATTTTTTGGCGGTTGAAGTAAATTTGAAGGGAAACCCCTTTAACTTAAACTTAGGTTTTTGGAATAAAACCTGTCTAAAATAGGACAAAATCTGAGAGTTAAATATTAAAACATCACAGAAATACCAAACGTTTTCACCAATTTGCACAAAATAAGACTTGATCAGAAGAATAGGAAAAAAGATCGAAGGATATACATTAACGCGTATTTAATCAGTCAGGTGTCATGGTATAGTAGAAAAAAGTAAACATGCGTCAATTTCATTGGCGCCTCACGAAATCACTAGTAAATTTTCTTTAAAATCTCCGTAAAATATATTATTAAGCCATTCTTATATGCTGTAAAATCCACCATTCAGTAAGTGGCCACTGCAATCCATTGATACCTGCAACCATAGTATATAAAGAAGGCTTCAGTCAGCGCGTAGTCACATCTATGGATTCAGATGTAATGCCTAAAAACCTGTTATAGTCTAAGAGCTGGCGAAAAAATATAATTTCGTCAATTGGTGAACCCAGTCCCGCGAGTCTGGGAAAGCGTTTGCGGTTGTTTCGTTACTGTGCAGCATATAACATTTGCAAAAAAAAAAAAAAATAATAAAAATTTCTTTTGGCAACTTGATTTTTCTTTTATCTCTTTTAATTTAGCTTTCATTTAATTTAAAAATAGATCCGTTTTTTTGTTAGTTATAAAGTATTCATCACAGTATCATACTTCTCCAAAATATGTTATTAAAATATCCAATAAATATACTATTGACAATCTCAAAAAATCACGTATTTACTGAGTAATTTTAATAATACCTGCAAATAGCCAGACAAATTTGGCGGCTGTAACAATTCCCAGATGTGAATTTTACAAATGAATATAGTTTCTATTATAGGTGCGAGAAAGATAGCTTATTGAAGCATGCCGGCAGCTAATGAGGGCGCAAAGTCCTCACGCTGTGATTGGTTATTGAGAAATCGGGTGTTTTCGGAACTAAATATTATGATGTGTAAGTAACCCAGACCAGAGAAGTTTAGAACGAGAAATTGTCTCAGTGCTTACGTCTCACACACAAGGCTTACTGCTACACAGTACGATTTGTAGTGTCGGAAAATTGTTATAGTATTAGGAAGTTGTTGTAAAGTAAAGTTACAGCCTACATACGTCCCACTGCTGGGCACAGGCCTCCCCTCATTTTTGAGAGGGTTTTAGGGCATGGAAGTGTCCGCCGCGCTGCCCCAATATGTGTTGGCGAACTTCACATGTCTTCGAATTTTTTTTCTTATTTCTCGGGCATGCGGGTTTCCTCACGATGTTTTCCTTCACCGCCGAGCACGTGGTAAATCAGCACTTAAAATTGCAATTAACAATTTGTGATCGAACCCGGTTTGCTCGCGTACTGTGAAATTTACAGCGAGCGTTACCACGGCTCTGAGCTACCACGGCTCTTACCACGGCTCAGGAAGTTGTTGGCATCCGTGAAAATGGTGATGATATTGAACTTGGAATGAAATAAGTGTATTTTAAAATATCCTTTACTAAACATTAAGGCAAAGTCGTAAATATAATGGCGTTGTAAAGGTTTCTTACCGTACTTGTACACCCAGGAAAATGCAGACAAATTGGATCTTCGGGCCAATTCTTTGCTACATAAAAATGGAAGTCCCAAACCTTGTTGTTTAGATATGTTTGAATCGTCTGCTGAAACTGGGAAAGAAAAAAAATTAAGATACCACTGGTAATAACTGTAATAATTTTTTTTGTTTAAATTTATACATTATATAAATTTGATATACTAAAGACCGTTTATTAAGTTTAATACTGAGTAACACGCTGTGAGGAACATTTGTAGATATTCAGAAGCAAAAAAAAAAAAGTTTTGGGACAAAACTGAGTTGCGTTGACTCTGAGTTGCTTTTTCCTCAACTGGACAGTATGAAAATTTTGGCTTTCAGTTCTTTTTTATTGTAATAAATATTGTATATTATTATGTAATATTGTTAAAAATTATTATTATTGCTTTCTTCTTCAAGTACGTTGGAAACTCCACGTTTAATATCTCTGCCAGTGAATTAAGATCTTATTAGTATTTTCCCTTAATGGACACTTCTAAGTTCATGACATCTACGGCATAAGATTTAGTTGTTGTTTTTCTTCTTAATTTTTATTTCTCTTTGCTTCACGTCTCAAGACGTGGCTAATAAAAAAGTATATACGAAGTGGTTACATAATATAGTGTGGCTAAGTTACCTTTAGAGATTCAGGCATATACTGCACTAAGAAATCGGCCAACGCTGGGAGCTCGTCTTCTGTCACCAATCGGAAGTTTTTCCCCTCGGGCACGATTTCCATCTCTAGAACAAATAAAATCGCTGAGTGTGATACCTCATACATAATATACATTACCAATGGATTTTATATGTTTGACAGAATGGTCACTTAAATTTTTTTCTATACGGTATTTATACAGATAGAGTATATATTTATAATATATTTATTATGTTACTTAGTACAGCCGTTGGGGGTTAAAGTTTCTTAAACATGGACGTGAAGTAGTCTAGTTGTGGTCTTTTGATAGGTAGCTGTAATGATGATGTCGATGAGGTCGCATACTTTATTTAGGAATCTTTGAAACTTTTCTCGTATCCTATAACAGCGACTCTTTCAAAACGTCGTGGGTTTGAATCCGCCATTCGACTACTGTCGTGAAACATACTGACACAAGCATTTTGAAGTTACCAGGAGTGGTAAAATAGAATATTAGTAATGTTGATTGCACTGCTAGCATTACAAAATAAAGTTTTGAAAAAAAAAACCGAGGAGGTTCTGTAAAACTGGACTCGGTATCGAATATTATATTTGCGTGTATGTTTTTTTATATTTACACCGTATTCATGAAAAAAAAATATTTATGCTTCAGCGATGATCCCATATAAATTTGAATAAACATCATGATTTCAAATTTAAATTTGTAGAATTTGTATTTATTTAAATTTAAAGAAAATATTATATTCCAAAGAGTTGGAAAATAGCGAAATAAAATTTAATGTTACTGTTAACATTACAATCTAATTGTTACCTCATAATTGTGATATTCCACCATTATAAGATAACTTAGTAGGGTAAAAAGTTAAACTTTTATTTACTTAAAAAGTAAAAACTGACATCAAAATCTAAAAAATAAATCTCACCCAATAGCTTCTGGTATCGTTAATTTATTTGTCTGATACTCTTAGTGTTAGACTGTGACAGCGAAATAATTAACAGCACTGACATCGGAGAAAATAGGTTGTCGAATTCCGACCTAACAATCGTCACATGGTCTCGAAATATTTATACATTTTCAAACGTGCTGGTGTCGTCGTGATGTTTTTTTTCGACACCGAGGCTCCAGGGCTTAAGTATAATCATCAGCCATATAATAGTAACTAAATAACACTATAATATTTTCGGAGAGAGACCGTCACTGTTGATATTGATGAGCACACGAAACGTAAGAAATATTAGTTTAAATAAAATACAATATAATAATATGGTCTTCATGACACGAAGTATGTTATACCGTTGGTTGATGGACACTTTAAAATATTCTATTTATCTAAAATAATTGTAATCTCTAAAATAAATCTTTGAGCCGTGGTAGCTTAGAGACTAAGCACTCGTGGAAAATTTCACAGTACTTAAAATGCGTATGTTAGTCAAGAGATCACAACCCAGTATTTGTCGGGCTGTTGAATCTCTGCGTAGTTTTATCTATCATGTCTACAATTAGTACGTAGAGAGAACTTTATAATTTAGTTTTTAATTATTTGTAGTCGAAGTTGTGTATATAGGAAAGATAGAAAGAAAAAAAGCATAGCAATGGCATACTTTTAGTAACCAGACTTGTATTGACAACCTTTTAAAAGCCGTTGCATTTTGACTTATAATATTATGGTCCCCAACGTGGTAATGTAATGGTCAAAGAAATTAGTTTTGTACTTAATTAGTAGTTGGTTTGAATTAATTATTGTAATGAAATAGTTACAAATGACATCGAGATATATCTGTAGTTATTAAAAAACCTTCAGCACCGCCCTCGAAGCTAAACTGTCTACTGTGAAAGAACAGAAACTTCACTGAATGCCAATATGTTGAAAACCTTATAACATAAAAACATGCTTGCTTAAAACATTTAAAGCAGAGTTACGCTTTTAAAACATTTTAAAATATTATGACGTCACAAATGCGACATGGAGGTAAAAGATGTACGTTGTCTTAAAACATGTTGAAAGCTTTTTACATAAAAATATTAAGATGAGTCGCAATGCGGTTCAGACTTTATTTTCCTCGATGTTTTATTTTCTAAAAGCTAAACTAAGCATTAAAGGGTTAGTAGTTGGTTGTGTTCGTGTCAAAGCCAGCAACCGTTTTGAAGATAAGGCGATTGACGTTTAAAACACCAAAAAGTTTATGTGTGGGAGGACTTCTGTCATGTCTAGAAGTCAATCTGGTCCATCCAATTCAATTATATAAAATATGTATCGATGTCAAGGCTTGTTTCAACTGACTTAAAAAATGAGGAGGTTCTCAATTCGTGGATTTTTTTAACTTCCCAATAAGAAAATTGAGAATATTCAATAATAGGGAAGTTATTGGTTTAAGATCTCGACGTTTTTAAATCCCAGGAAGCTATTCTGACTACTTTCACGTGGACGTCCGTATGGATGTATATATATGTGCGTGTGCGTGCGTGCGTGCGTGCGTGCGTGCGCGTGTGTATGTGTGTAAGTATGTAAACCTTTCATAAAACTGTTTTTTTGGAATAACTTTTAAACGGCTTTACCGACCAATTTCAAAAACTAATCAACTCTTAACCTCAAAAAGTGACGTCGAATGCTGTTTGGAAAATAAAAATCGCTTTATTTGTTAGTGAGATATCGAAGGAGAAAGAATTTTTAAAAAACGTTTTTTTTTAACATAACTTCGAGATTTCGCAACATGATTTGGTGAAATTTGGAGCGCTTTGTTTTTGAAATTAGCGGGAATTTCCAGGGATGGCCTGCAGGATCAACCAATTTTTTAATGTAGGTATGTTCAGCGATAATTCTTTACTCTTTTTAGGGGCAATAAAACAAAATAAATGAAACTTTCAATACTTTAATTAAATATTTGAATGATGTGGGATTGCACAGGCACATGCGTTTTCAATTAGAAGAAGTTGGTCCTGTACGAGTAGATTCCACTGTTTTTCTTAGAAATAATATTGACGTGAAATGCGTACTGCGTACTAAGATAAAATAACTGAATATCAACAAAATATCTCTGGTTCTCACCACTAATTATAACACCACAAACCAATCTAAAGTAATTTATTTGACGCTGAGGTTTTGTGAGAGCGTATTTCTTCTCCGGTTGTGCCAACTCAATCGTGCCGCAGCCATAATGTGTGTAGCTCTACCAGGTAAGAGCCATCGCATTGAAGAATCAAGCTATTAACCTCAAAAATACGAGTATTCACATACATCGGCCGCCAAACAGTAGCGCATCTATTACTATGTTCTGGTTCGCATGACAAAAAAAAATTAATATAATTAGTTGCAGACTAAATTACATGCAGTGAGATATTCCAACACCTGTAGACAATGACGTAACATCGGTTTCTAGTTCCCGGAACCGACAGAGCCCAAAAAGCCGCTCTTTTGATCCGTAATTTAAAAAAATAATAATATTGTACATAACGTATGTTTTAAACTTACTGTTGGTATTTGGTAACCTTTTACTTAATTCTACAGTGTTCATTATATTTTAATCAAAAATATTGTTGAGCTATGTTTCAGAATTTTTAAGACTATTGACATCATTTAAAAAGTTAAGGAGGTGACTTTTTCCAAAATATAGGCTATATACCTATCTACCTAAACCTCGATAAGCGCAAATGCGTGCTTTAGAGTCAATATAATTTTGGCTGGCTATGTAGCAACACGAAAACCTACAAAGTAATGACTGAAATGAAATATAAATGACTATTTCAAGTTGTTATTAGATTTTCTTACTTTAAAACACTTTTGCGACTTCTTTCCTTCTGGTGGTTATATGATTTATTTGGCTTTCCGAAAACTCGTTATAATATTTTAAAGAATAATTATATACACAACTAAGGGTCAGAACTAGCTCACAGTCTACCAGAAGAAGAGGTTACTGGATGATGTGGCTAATAGACACATAAATCTATCCTCGGACTCAGATGGAATGCCTTGCTTCCCACTAAAAAGGACCTTCGATCATTCACCCTATGAAACATTTAGCGTTATGCTGCTATTTCACGTAGGTATACCCAGATAATTACAATAAATATTTTAAGTGGTGGTGCCACACTGCAGCTGCATATATATTTGTGGACTGAAGGGCTCAGCCGGGGTGGGACCACATACTCACTGAATGCCAACGTAAAACAGCAGCATTACTGTTTTTCTTATTGTGAGTGTAGAAAAGCGGAGACCCTTTTTACCAGTAATGCGGCATTCCATCTTAGTTTTTTGAGGTGACAACGTTTCTGCATTTTTATTCTGAATCAAGAGTCGATGTCGATGCTCGCTTGACACCCTTATTCTATAAAACAAAATAATTATCTAAGTAACTGTCAGTCGACTGTTTGATATATTCTGACGATGAAATGAAATAAAATGAGGAAAATTGGGCATGACAAATCCGACACATAACTGGAGGACATCCCTAATGACTATTTTCTTTTTTTATTTAATTCTTTTTTTAATTTAGGTACTTAGGTTGTTTTTAACATGTCAGTCTCATTGCATCTTATAACTAAATAACACACTACAATTTCTTAAATTATTTACACAAAATATTAACTAAGTTATATACCATTTGAGCAGCATTAGACAATGGTTCAGACAGAATGCTTTGATATTCCCCTAGGTTACAAATTTTAATATCAGTTTTGGCAACTAATAGTTTCCTTTCATGATGATTTTTAAAACATTCCGCGAGCAAGTGTTGTACATCTTCTATTGTTTTGCATGTATCGAAATTTGGAGATTGTTTCTTTTTCATCATGAAAGCAAACTTGTTACACGGAATGTGTCCGGAACGAAGTCGTATTGCTAATACAACATATTTTCTATTCAACAGACATTGATTAAACCAAGGCATTTTCGGAGGCTGACTCTGGATGGTTTTGTACCAAATCCCTTTTTCTTGCGATCTTTTATCAAAATATTATTTCCAAATTGTATAAAATTTCTCTTTAGACTATTTTCTTAAAATATCGTATAAGTGGTTTTATGACAAACATGTCAATTATTTTGTTATTCGAAATTTAAATACAATTGTTTTTATAACCAACATGTTAATC